CGCAGCAGGCAGTCTCGAAATAGCGCAGCAGGTGAATCCTTGAACCAGCGTAACGCTGGGTTTCCTCTCCGTTTCTCTGTCCAGAACTGGGAGCTGGCCCAGCTTATATAGTGCTGGGCCGGACCAGAGTGTCCACGGCCTTCGACCTGGACCGTGCAGATCGAACCTCCGATCCACGGTTCAGATCGCAGGCCCGAAATGTGGTTCAGTCCTTGGCCTCAAAAACGGCCTGCCTGGGTCCCTACCGGACGTCCAGGCCCTGTCCAGGACTGGGCCTGTTCGGTACCTGGTCCGAAACAGGTCCTGTGCGAATGCATCAGGTCTAAACGTCGGCCCAGGTCCGAACAGGTCCAAAGTCTGGTCGGAAACAAAAAAGGTCCAAACGTTTTTTTAGAGGCTCAGCCTCTGGGTCTGAATCTCGCCCTGAAACGTTTCCCTGGGAGGCCCTGCCTCTTGGTCCAAGTGGCCTGGCCGTACCTGGGCAAAACGGACAACAGCACACACGTTAGAAAAACAACAGCAATAAAAAAAAAAAAAAAAACTAAAGCTGGCGTTTTCCAGATGCAGGCCCAAGTAAAATTGCCGTAGGGCCTTCAGGTTGCTGTGACGCGACCTGGGGGCCCTTATTCCAACCTCGGGTCCCGTGAGGGGCCTGTGTGTAGGCTCTCAGCATGTAACACGCCCCCCTCCTTATGAAGACGAGCCGGGGCATGGGCGAAGCTGCCGATCCGATGGCGGAATGTAGCGAGGATAGCGAGGAGCTGGAGTGCTCGGCGTAGTCTTCTCCTTGCTTAGATAACGTGAGAGAACGGCGGGGGCTGTGGCCTGCAGCGTCAGCCAATGGTCAGCCTTGTGGCTGCAGTAAGAAAAGTGAAGTAGAAACTCCGTCTCTTTGTTGCCATGGCGCCGCTGGGTGATGACGTAGCCGGCCTCCTGAAATCCGTCCATGGARGGAGGGTCTTGCGTACGTCGGCCGGGGAAATTGTCGGACTCCGCGGAAGCAAAAGGAGCGAGTTTGGAACAGTGGAACACCGGGTGGACGGGCAAGTGAGGTGGCACTTCGATGCAAAATGAAGGCCCCTCAGGATCATCACCAACTGCAGAATGAATACGCCAAGGCCCCATCCACTTGGGAAGGAGCTTGCGAGAGATGTCTTGCTCAAGGCTGAACTCTGCGGCGGAGACCCAAACCAGGTCGCCGGCGCGGAACGGGCAAGGGAGACGATTGCGGTTGGCTTGACGGCTCATCCGTATTTGCGTCTTCGACATCTGATCCCGTGCCTTGACAAGGCTCCCCAAAATGACATCGAAGTCGGTGTCCAATACGTCAAAAGTGACGGGTTCACATGCGCGCGGTGCAAAATACACCGGGACAGCCGAGATGTAATGGTCTAAGAGCTGTTTCGTCTTACCGTCGTCGGATGTGACTTCCTCCGTACTTGTGCCCCAAGGCCAGCCCGAGTCATGAAGGACTGGCTGATGAAGTTGCGAGTTGCGCCGCAATCCAGCAAAGCGCTGCAGGCCGCTTGCCCAATTTGAATGCGGACGTAGAGCAACGGTGCGTTGTTTTCTTCGTACCGTTGCAAGGCAAACTCGCGGGCCACCTTGGCAGCATAGCCAAGCATGTCCCCCACCGCGACTTCGTCTACCGTCGGCAAAGTTGGTGGTGCATGGAAGGAGAGATACTCCTGTAAGAGGGCGCATAGTGCTGCACTTTGCGGTCCCGGAAGGCTGCCCGTCGTAGGGAGAGGAACCCAAGCGAAATCCTCGGGCGTGAGAGGGTCCAAAACCTCCTCGTTGAACACGCTTGCCGAATCCCTTGATGAAGACGAACTGACGGAAGAACCCTCGGACGGTGAGAAAGCCGCACACGTATCTTGTCCTTGAGAAGCGTCCAGCGAAGGAACGAGCCGGGCAGCGAAATCTTCGAACGAAAGTGGAAGACTCCCGACATCCGCATATGCCTCGGAAGAAAGGGCGGTCGTGCGCACAACCGCTTCCGATGGAGTCGAGGGAGGTGTCGAGTCACCCTCGGCGGCGCCTACTTTCCCGAACGGGGTTTGCCCTTCGTGGGGCAATGTGCAGCAAAGACAATAATGGTACCTGAGTCTCGTGTGGTAGTTGTTCGCCGAGAGTCCGTACTGGAGCCAGGGTTCGTCGGCTGCTGATCCGGTGCCCGGTGAAGAGGTGGACTGAGTCTTCGTCTTGTCGCGGCCGTGATTGTTGCGCGACCGGCCACCATCCCGGGCAGCTGCCAACACATCACCCTCGTTTGGTGTTGCAGCCTCGGTAGAAGAAGTTGGCGAAGTGGCCGCAATGCAAGCCACCTTTGGCTTGGGTCGGTTGCTGCTCGACGTCGCAGAAGATCGACCGGCGTTGCGGGCCTCTACATTCGTGAGAATGATCCGTGACGATGCGCTGAAAAGCTTGTCCGACGTCTCGAGTGTCTTTGCAATCTGCGTCAGCGCGTTTTGCAGGGATGGACACGAGCGCATGATGAACAAGTGCTTGAAGCCGCGGAATGAGAGCGGCAGGTCGGGTGTGAAGGCGAGTCTTTGGAACTCGGTAATCCAGTCCTGACTGAGGAGCGAGTTCTGATGGAGCTTGTTGAGCTTCTCCATCGCCTGCAGGTCGGGCGGCTGCACTTGGAATCGCTTGTGCCAGGCGTCAGTCAGCTCCTGCCAAGTGAGCTTGGTGTGCAGTTCCGACACTGCTATGCCGTGGCTGGTCAATATATTGTCCAGCCATGCTTGACATGCACCACCAGATCCGTGGTACAAACACGCATGTCGATCGTTGTTCAGGACATGGTGCATGTCGAGCCTGAGAGTGAACTGGCGCCACCACGGGATCGGGTCCGTCTTGGACTGATCGCAGAAAACTGGAAGGTCATCCAGTTTGGGTGGGCGTCGGGAGGATGCGACCGCGGGCGTCACGGTAGCAGCGGCCTGGACCTGCGTCTCCAACTGCAAGTTCATTGCTTGCTGTGACGTCCGGAAGTCCTGATGCACCCGCTTGATGTTGCTAACGTCATCCTCCAAAGCTTGAACACGGGTGGCAAGGTTAGAAGGCCCTGCGGCTGCTGCAGCAACTGGCTGTTTCTCCAACGCCTGCAGTCGTGCAAGCATCTGGTCCACTGTCTGTTGCAAGTGAAAGATTTCATCCTGCTGCAGAGCGCACGTGGCCACGAGGTCGTGGGAGATCTGCGCAACGGCTGACAGCCCTTTGTCAGTCTCTGAGGCCTCGTCCGCAGATGCCATTTCCACCCAATGTGTGGTCTCATCACCGATCACGGTCTCCCAGGTGAACAGTCGTTCCCGCTAGCGTGACCGGTGTTCAGCTGCCGCCTGCAGGTCTGCCTCCTCCTGACGAAGTCAGTCCTACTCCTCTTGCTGTTGCTTAGTCTCCTCTTCTTGCTCAATTCAGTTACGTTCCTTGGCCGCAGCAGTGGCCCTATCGCTGGCCTCCTTGATAAAAGCTGCCAGGCGCACCTCATAGTCCGGGAGGGATTCTCCCGGCTTCCTGTCCATGGTCTTGGTCTGCGATCGAGTGAGCAGGGGCATGCACTGTCGTGCCCGTAGTCTGAAGAGTCACTCGGAGGCCAATCGGATGGACTGGCCCAGTACCCGGACCGGAGGAGGGGGAACAGGCAGGCAGCAGACAAGTGGGAAGGATCGGACAGATCCAAAAATGGAACAGTGTTCTAACCAAAAAAAAATATTTTTGATTAAAAAATATTAAAATAAATCAAAAACTCGAAAAAGACTGTCCAATCCCACATAGTACCGAAGGTGATGCAGAAAGCCAGCGTTAACCTGTGGTGCTCGGACTGCAGAGATAAAAAGAACAATCTTCGAAAACTCAGAGTAGAAGAGGGTTGCGAAAGAAAAATGCCGTTTTTTTTTTTTTTTTTTGAAAAAAACTTTAAAAAAGAACGGAATTTGCAGATCTACGCAGTGAAAATGTAGAGGGGACAGTTTCCGAAAAAAAATCGCGAAATTTGTCGAAATGCAGACAAAGTTTAATAATTGGAATGAAAAAAAAATTCGGAAAATTTTCTCGAAAAAAAAAACAATTAATTAATTTCGGGAGGGAAAGAAATAATTTTCCCAAAACTAAATAAGAATTGCCAAATAATCAATCAACTAATTACTAATCAATCGATCAATCAATCAATCAATCATCCAATCAATCAATCAATCAGTCCATCAGCCGATGGTTGCTCGTTGATCGATCGATGTGGTTGATTGATCGCTTGTTTGATTAATCAACCAATCAAAGATTGATCGGCAGAATTCCGCCGATCCAATTAATCAATCGATTGATTGGTTGTTGCTAGGATTCACTGCAACGGCTCCGATACCACTTGTACCATATCAGGAAGTGAAATGCACGGAAGCCTAAGATCTAGCAATGATGAAAGTAACAACGACCGGCAGCATAGATGCAACATTCAAGATTATGATAATGTGCACAATGCAAAGAATGAACTAACGAGAAACCATCAACAATGTATTCACATCATCATCATCATAGGCTGGGGAAACAGCGCAGCGGAAGACTCAAATCATCATAGGACACAAGGTGGGACAACACACAAGAGGAGAACTTCGGAAGAGCCGCACATCAGAAAGATGGCTCTTCCGCTCACACACATGGGGAGGGAACCATAGC